AAAATAGTGAGTTAGCGTCTCTTCTACATGACATACACCACACAAGGGAGAATCAACACATCTTCTCATAAATAGATTAGCATTTAGAGCAACATTTCCGGTTTTCAATCTCATGTACTGTATTTCCAACCTAAAATTTCTAAAACTTTCTCAGTCGAAGATCCCCTCATAGCACCTAAAGTAACCAGAGCAGCATGATATTGTACTCTCTCCTGCTTGTCCGATTTCGTTTTCTCGATTCAATGCACACATATCCTTTCTACTTGTCTTGGAAATACACGGTGTGTTCCTCGAAATGTAGAAAATGATGAAAAGTTTTAGAAATTATTAAAAACGAAAAGTGTAAACTGGAACTGAAATTAGCTCTTGTGGTCATATCTGGTATTCTATCCATCAGTGGTTCGGATATTCTCTATCGCTGTTCCTTTTTGTTTCGCTGCATGAATTCATCAGCCAACAATAGATCCGACAGCTTCGTTGGCTGGCTCAAAGTTTTAAGACTTCTGCGCCCAATATGATGGTAATGTATGCGCTATCACGTTGACTGCAAAGATGCTAAAATTTGATACCTCTAGAATAGTGCCAGTACTCTGGTATATCGGTGATCGTCTTTTTGTCTGATATTTTTCTACATGACAACAAATACTGATTTAGAAACACTACTGGCAGTATTGGAGTACACTTCCATTCTACGAGAGATAAATTAATAACATATGTTCATCAGAAACGTGTGCGGACAGCACGCACGCAGTAATTTACGTAGATTCTGTCGTTTTCTAATGATCAGTTTCTGAGAGTGTCGGACACCTCAGTCTGTTACCCATTTTAGATTTGACTTTTGAATCAGTCATTTTATAGATCACTCAGTTAATATGAAAACCTAATAAAATGGACTCTAACGACAGTCCATTAAAAGTTTCGGAGAAAATGATACATACCACAATTCTATATACACAACGTATACATTCACTACTAGTGGAGTGCTTTACGCCCGGCCTTACTTTAATACGACAGCAGAAAAGCGTTTATGTTCATTTAAGAGCATTTGCTCTCAGAAAAGCCAATTTTTGTTAAAACATATATTTTGATATGTATATATGGCTGGATAGTCCAAAGAGTTTACCTTTAGAACCTGTATGACTTTCTATCCCCACCATTAATTTTCATGGTGTACCAAAATATTTGTACCACTGCTGACACTGAGCAAAAACAACTTTAGCTTAAAATTTATGCATTTAATAGTACTGATTTTGCACACAAGAACAGGTTTTGATACAACCAGCCTGCATTCACAGGATTTTTGACAAGGTGGGATAGTTGTGGTCCAATTACGTATAAAGAAATGCGATTCGTACTGTGGTAGACAGAGCTGCTAAGATTGATTATGGAAGTCAAATTTAACGCACTCATGTATTTGGTTCATATGCAATCAGATAATAGCAAAATTAGTACGTTAATGCAATGTTGGATTTTTCGGCCTAAATAGGAATTCAATCAAATTCTGTGGTAGACAGCTATTAAGATATTTAATAATAAACTGATATATAGTAAATTTGGAAAAAACTGGGTTTTTGCGGTTGATACTTTGTATCCAATAATTTTTCGTTGATAAAATTATAAATAACGAATTAAAACATTTCATAGGACGACTAAAGAAACACAGAGGTATTGTAGATATAAGTCCGACACGAGAACTTGTTGTATTGAAAATTCCATTTTATGCTAGGAACAGTTATTACATTGACAGTTACATAATTGACATGGGTTCCACATTACGTTATGTATTATGTCAATGTCTTTGAAGATATTTGATATCACAATCTGTTTGAATTCAACAAGTTATTGATTCTTTTCTTCACCTTCTTCATCTCCTTGTAGCTTTCGCTCCTATCTTCCACGGTAGAAGCCTGATTCTTCCACGGTAGCACAACAGTGCAAATTGTTTGTTTATGTTATTCAAAACATTCGAAATAAGAATGTTTTTGACGTATCTGAAAAATTTACAATACAAATTTTGTGGAGGATTTTTGACTGTTTTCAAAATCAGTGTTCTGAGACATTTGTAAACTACATGCACGTCATTTTGGGAGAAAATGAAAGATCAGATGTCTGGCTACCAACGTTACTACGGGAGAGTAATGAATAACACCTTCCCTGATCTTACATAATTTATTTGATGGATTGTTGACAAGTTACCACAACGATGAGTAGCGCTTTATCGAATGCCTTTGAAGACGTTCGAAAAATCGAATCGATTATGAAGTGTTTATGAATATTATTAATAAAACAGAAACAGCATAGGATGAGGAATTCTTCTTCGTAACGACTCCAAAATTCTCACTACTTTCACCGCTCATGACGAACCTAAACTTTCCGAGATAAAATATATTTCATTTAGGTTCCTGGGTTCTTGCACGTCGAAAACGAACCTGAAAAGTTTAGATTCGTACTAACGTTTTAGGTTCGTACGAACATTTAGATACAAGAACATTTTCTCCTACTATACTGGGCGAGGCTGGGCGCGGGGTGGGACGTTGCTGGCAGTGAGTGCTATAGGCCAAATCCGGCAAATGCCGTATAACTACCAGGTGCGAACCTAAGATCGTAATACGAACGTAAAATGTTTAGGTTCCTGTTCAACATGAAAGAACCCAAGAACCTAAGAACCTAGATATAAAATATACTAGGAGAAAAGGTTCTTGTATCTAAATGTTCGTACGAACCTAAAAGTTTACATTCGTTTGCAACATGAGAATAGGCCAGGAACCTAAAGCTTTCTTGATATTTTTGTTTGGAATTTTTTTTGGGTTCGTTACGAATAAGAATTCCTCACTTCATCAGAAACAGGCTTCATTTGGACTGACTATATTATGAGTCTAGCTCTTCAAAGACACTGGAATTTTATATGTGTTCTAATGCACTTCAACACATTCAATCGTCGAAGAATTAAAACTCTTCTAAGTCTTTTCAAATCTGAATTTATTTGAAGACCTTCAAAAAAAGGATATATTTGAAGAATTGTAGTTCTGTAAAAACATCTAATACTTCGAATGTATTACAAATTTAAATTGTCGTTTTAGACAATTTAATTGTACTTCTAAGGTTGTATGAAGACATTTAATAAGTAAAGGTGGTGCACCTACGAATTCTTTTAGACCCTTTAGATCTCGAATCAGGCCGAAGATGCGCTTTCGAAATGTATTCGAAGACATTTAAAAATGGCATATTGACACCTCTAAGGACCTTTGAAGACATTAATGGTATTTATCTCCATTGCACAAATTCTTTAAAGAAGATTCGGAGTACAAAAATAACCTCTGAGATCTCTTTATTCATTTGTTTGTTGTTTCCCCTACATTACTGTTCATTGGTCCGTTTTAGTTTTCTTTATAATGCCCAAGCTTATTCAACTGCACGCAACATATAACGGATGCATTCTCAATTTGTTGTTAAAATAAATGAAGTTTAAATCAAACAACATTAAAATTCTGGTAAAACTGATTGTCTAAGGCGTGCTTTGTTGCATAAAGAGAACTAAATACTGAGTTCGAATTGAGCTGACTTTTGACGAATCTAACCTATGTTTTTAGCGTTAGAATCTCAATATGTACAATAATGTTGACTTTAGGAAGTCAAATATAACGCAGTCACGTATTTTGTTTCACATGCAAATCAGATAATAGCAAAATTAGCACGTTATCGTAATGTTGGATTTTTTGGTCTGAATTAGAATTCAGTCAAATTCTAGAGAATCAACTAATTTCTAGTTGAAGGTGCAATATTTAGATGTGACCAGCAGCAGTGCAACAGATTTCAAAGCAAATCAAAAAAAGATAAGTTCTACTGGGAGATAAATGGGGACAAGGAACTACCGAATACGGACACTAATTTCAGTAAAACCTCATGGAGTATCGAATACATCGGCAACAAAGGCGACCTCTACGAGAAAAATATTTAAAAGACTATTATGTACTAACTAATGGAATTGAACGTCAGCTAATAGATGAGGATGGTGTATAGGTTTGTTATACTGTTGTAATAAAGAAAATGAGCTACTGAAAAAAAGAGAGAGTAAGAAGACGAAGTCACTCTGTTCGTACTCAAAAAAAAAGTGGACTGTGAGCATTGTAGAATAATACATTATCGTTGACGGTATTTACTTACTTCAGAGATAATACACTAATCAATAATCAATAGACTTTTTCGTTTTACTGTAGTAAATATAAGAAAAGGATGAAAACAAACTTGCAAAAAAATTATTATCACAAACTAATGACAACCTCTATTTTCGTCACTTGTGCTAGGAAAAATCAATGGACCGTTGCATAAGTATGTTATCTACCACCATAAAAATAGTTTATTTACAATAGAATATTTATTATTAGGGAATTTTGACTATTACAATTATTTCTTTATATTCATAAAATAAAACATGTTTGAACTTAAAAATCATTCAGTTTTTAACAGAGCTAAACAAATTCAATATTTATCAATATTTTTTATTGTAATAACCATAATCACTTCTATAGTAACAATCATTTGTTCAGCATCTGTGCCTAGAGATAGTTTTGTTTATTGGTCTGCAATTAATATATTATCCGTAGCTTCAACAACCGTTTCAACATTTTCTTTAGTTATATCATTTCTCTTACTTTGGTTCGTTGTTCATCACAAACGTCATTCAACAATACCAGTTCTATCAAATATTCTATTATTATTATCTCTATCGACATTGATCGTTGCAGTTATATCTGTTAATGGAAAAGTTCATATCGAATTTTCCACACGTACACAGTTACATCACTTAATTAATAGCTATGAGACGACACCTCATATTGCTATAACAAAAATACAATTACATTATCAATGTTGTGGAATTAAGAATATAACTGACTGGGAGACAACATATACAATAATTAAAAATAATACCAGTGTACCAGATTCATGCTGTAAACACTTATACGAAACATGTGGACGAAATCAGTTGATATTACTCAATAATGTTAATATAATTGGATGTTTTGATGTTATTTCAGAGAAATATCGGCATAAATATGGTTTGTTAGCAACTACAAATTTTTGTTTAATGATCGCCTTGTTTATAAATGCCATAAATGGTTTCATTATAAAACAGCATTTTACAGACAATGATACATGAAAAAAACGACTTGTCAGATGAGTTTCTGGAGTCTTTTAAGAAATGTCTTGAATGCGATTGTTAGATATTTTTTGTTTTTCTAGTTGAAAAGGTAAGCGTTCGTTTCTATATCATTCTATTCAGTATATCTTAGAAAAAAAAGTATGTATCGGTTTTATTTTATGATGCTTGATTGTTGAAAAAATTAATATTTTTTAAACCAACCAATGCTGTTTTGTCTGGAAAGTTTTAAATAGTTTTCATTTTTGAGTGAAAGTTACAGTCATTTTTTGATAGACAAATTCAAAAAATGATCAAAGTTAACGGACAGAACTAGAAAGAAGATCATTCGTCTCAGCCTGTCACACTGATTTCGAATATGACGTTGGTTTAATACCATTGAAATTTGGTGATGAAAATCGCAAAAATACTTATGTTTTTCCGTATTTATTTTCGTTGGTTTAAAAAAATAGTTTTCTCAACAATCAAGCAATATAAAATAAAACTGATACGTACTTTTTTCTCATAGGCATACTGATTAGAATGATATAGAAAAGAACAATTAACTTTTCAACTAGAAAAACTAGGTAGATTTATAAAATACCCTATGACCTGTTTTTGCGGGTCTGTTCTCAGCTGCCGGACTTGATTGACTTTTGTGTTTGAAGTCAATTAAATATCTTTTCTATACTGAATTTTCAATGCTAAATCTGAAAAAAAATAGTTCGAAAAATTGAGGAATGTCCGGATTCCTGTAATTCCGAAACTCCACCATTCTTACGAGAACTTCTCTTGTCTATCTCACGAATTCCTCTCGCCATCTCATTCAAAGTGCAAGAAGTTCGAACTCTGCAAGCATTTCTCTTTCACACGACCATTACTTTATTTGCGTGTAAGTTTGTCTGGAAGATTTATGTGTTGTATTGTTTTAGGTGCGTTGTTTGAGTTTCTCACGCTGTGGTTTATTTGCGGTGCTTTTTGTGTTATGTGATTTATCTAGTTTTTCCTAGACATTGTCGAATTAATTAGAGACTGATGACTATTTTTATAGTTTGCATGATTTGACGTTGTGTAATGTTTGTCTTCTGTGAAATTGACTGTCTGAATTTTATGCTAGACTGTTATAATGTCTTGATTAACAGCCATTGGTGCTCAGATCTATATATGTCGAAGTTTGCTTTCTTGATGAGAAGTGTAAAGAAGTCGAATTAAGATAAAGAGTAGTCAATCGCAGACTCGTAACTTGAACCCAGAAGCCAGGATAGGTGGTCAATGAAAGTGTATTTGTGAAAGAGTTGTGTAGAAGTCGAGGTCTAATTAGACTTTTATATATATCAGCCGCTTGAGATTTCTGATATTTCTTAGACTGATACTCGACCACTAGTACACCGCCCTAGTAATATCGATTAAGTGGACAAATGCTGAAATACTGGAATATCAGGGATGAATGCCGTTTAAGCAGTGGCGGATCCAGAAATATTCGTTGGTACATGCGGTATACGATAAAAGTGCGAGATACGTGCGGTCGTCATAAAAACAAATTATTCTAAAAGAGTTCTGCTGGAAAAAAAAACAGTTTGTTGGTTAAAAGGTACGAGCGGCCGCTCGTACCGCTCGCGGGCTGGATTCGCCACTGACGAGGGATAAAGGTGGCAATAAAGCAGTTTCACAGAGCCATGATTCGTAAAAATATTTGTTCTTTAAAGAAAAAATTATCCATCGTATATATAGACAGCGATTTTATTCACGCCAATGATTAAATACGCTTGGTTCTCCAGTGGCTTAATACGTGAAGATCCTTTTCTATTTGTCAGCGTTAATCACGTTTGCTTTGCAAGTGCAGAAACTCATATACAGTGTAAAGAACAAGACTGTGATGAGTCTGTTTTTATAACTTGTGCTCGATGTTCGAAGAAATTGCGTTTTCAACACTTTTTTACCAGTTATCATTTCCATTAAAAACACAGCAAATATTTTTACGAATCATGGCTCTGCGAAACTGCTTTATTGCCACCTTTATCACAAATTGCTAATAACATGTGTGAAAAAACAGAACAGAAAGAAAAACATTAGTTTTTC